AGTAAATTAGATTAATTTCTACTACCAAAAAATACAGGTACTAGATTAAATGCATGGTAGCTACTGCATAGTAGTGCATGTGTAGACAGCTGACTGGGAGCAAATTGCTCCTGAGCAGCCCGGACAGTAGCAAGGCAGTTCCTGCCTCCCCTGAGCTGAGCCAGGCAAGCCCCACTCAGCACAGGGTTCACAGGGAGATGCCCCACAAGTGGGACAGTTTCCCTCCTTCCCCACCCCTCCCTGGAGTCCAGGACTGACCCTGTTCCCCTCTGCCAGCTCAGGGCTGGCACCCAGGGGAGCCTGGAGCTCCTCCTGGATGCTGCAGGGAAGCACAGCAGGTCTGCAGCCACCATGAATTGAACTATTCCCATCAGGAGCACATGTAGACACACTCCCAGCCACCTGTTAATGCACCTTAAGGTACTGGTCAGTAACCTTAATGCACATTAATTGAATGTGTAGATGCACTCATTATGTGAGGAATTCTGACTGAAAGTCATACACAGGGAGGCTACTTTTTACTACTCAGATCTGAATCAGCTTGTTTCTTCATGTGTCAGACAATCTAAAATGTGTGGATCATTTCACTCCCCCCTTACAACACATCCATTCTTTTTTAGGCTCCGATACCTCCCTTCTCCTGTTCCAGATGAATTCTTAAAAAAACCCAAAAAACACAAAAAGCATGCAGTTTTTCAGTCTTTTGCTATGCTACAGTGCCACTCTATTTCCTTTCCACATGCTATTGAGACCCCAATATAGAATCAGAGACATAGTGGGCAATCTGGCCCCCTCTACACATTTCCACTTAAGGCATGATTAACCAAGTAATAATCAAGACCCAGCTACACATTTAACTAATTAATTGTTTGTTTTATCACACCATAAGCTATGACGTTATCCCACAAAAAATGTGCAATAACTTTGTAGTTTGTTCTAATCATGTCATGAATTGAATGTGGAATGTGTGGCCAAGTGCTCCCTTGTGTCTGGGAGTCCCATTAACTATGATGCTCCCAGACACAGGGGTGCACCACCTGCTTCCAGTCCCACAGCAGCCAAGGTTTGCAGTGGGGGCAGTGCTGTCAGCTGCAGGGCCTGCAATGGGGGCAGCATCTTCAGCTGCATGGCTCACAGCAGGGGCAGAGGAAGAATGCTGCTGCCAGTGCAAGCCTCATGAGGTGGGAGGCAGTATGGGCAAAATCTGCCATTCCTGCAAGACCCCACCTCACAAGGCTCACAGTGGTGGCAGTGTTCTCCCCATTGCCATCGCTTCCAGCCTCACAGAGACACTGGCTGCAGGGCTCACAGCAAGGGCAGTGCAGGTGAAAGCTGCTGACACTGTGAGCCCCACATTTCAAGACGCTCACAGTGGTGGTAGTGCATTCACTGCCAATGCTGCAAGCTCTACAGTAACATTAGCTGCGGAGTTTGCAGCAGGGACAGAACAAGGGAATGCTGCTGCCACTGTGATCTCCTCACCTCATGAGGCTCACAGCAGGGGCAGCATTCCCCATTTTGAGCCCAGAGGCCAATGATGTTTGGAGCGGGGAATGCTGCCTGCAAGCCCTGCCAAGCCCCAACAGCTGCAGGGCTGGTGCAGGAGGAGCTCAGGATCATGATCCCAAGGTCCCCCTGCACTGGCAGCAAGTTGTGCTGGAATCTAATGCACGATCCCACAACTGTGCTTCCTGCCATGCACATGTAGTAAGTGACTACAGATGATAGCTGAAAAAAATAACTTTGCAAAACACCAAACTTAAAGATAATACTTCAAAACCTCTTGCTATAATGAACATTTTTATGATCCTTCAGGCTCTTGTAAGATGGTGATGTGATTCATTAAGTACATATTAAGGTCTAAACATAGCTGGGCATGACTTACTATGTACTCCTGTGCAAGTTACCATGAATTACATTATGTATTTCCTCTAAAATCTGATTCAGGAGCTTATTTTCTTTGTGCTATATAGGAATAAGGCAGAGATGATAGTAATAAAAACAAAGCAATTAAAATTCTTAATTGTACTAGATATAGCACCTTCTTTAACATGCTTAAGTGGCAATTTAAAATATTTAAAATAGCCAGTGCTGCATTCTTTTTCTTGAAGGTCATAACAGCAACTAAAAAAAGAAAGCTAAATAACACAGCCTTTTAAATTTCTAGTTAAATATCACAGATTCATAGAAAATTAGGGTTGGAAGGCTCCTCAGGAATTCATCCAGCCGACCCCCTGCTCAAACCAGGACCAGCCCCAACTAGATCATCCCAGCCACGCTTTTGAGCTGTCTAGCTTTTAAAAACCTATAAGGATGGAGATTCCACAATCTCTCTGGGTATGCTCTTCCACTGCTTTACTATCCTCCTCATGAGAAAGTTTTTCCTAATATCTAATATTAACTTCCCTTGGTGCAATTTGAGACCATGCTCCTTGCTGTCATCTGCCACCACTGAGGACAGTCTAGCTCCAGCCTATTTGGAACCACCCTTCAGGCAGTTGAAGGCTGTTATTAAATCCCCACCTCAGTCTTTTTCCTCTCCAGACTAAATAAGCCCAGTTCCCCAGTTCTCCTCATACGTCATGCCCCTAGCCCTCTAACCATTTTCCTTGCTCTTTGCTAGACTCTCTCCAATTTATCCAAATCCTTTCTGTGATGGGGGGCCCAAAACTGGATACAGTACTCTAGAAGTGGTCTCACCGGTGCTGAAAAGAGGGGAGTTATCACCTCCTTTCATCTGACAACACTAAGAAATTATTCCCACTAATACATGGTTGGTGATCCACTGGTATATCTTAGCTGTAGCTGGAACCTTGTTACCATACTTTATTCTGATTGGCAAACTCAGCAGAAAGTCAATGAACTTAATAAGCCATGGAAATGAATTACCCTTGATTTACTTCAATGACATTCCCTCAGATCACAGTTGGGACAAAGACAGGGAAATACATGTTTGTGAAGCTTGCACTGCTGCTTCCCAAACACAGAGCTTCCTTTATCAGGATTCCATGATCTTCAAAGACCTTTCCAACTATCACAGTGATTAAGCCTGGAAATGATCAGCTAGAGAAGTTGTAAAAATCTTCCCATGAGAAAGATTAAAGTGCCTAGGCTGATTTAAAAAATGATGACCATGTTTTGAGCAGGAACATTGGATTTAGATGACCTCTTCAACTCTGTTCCTGCCTTATTTTTCTATGATTATATGAAATCAACACATTGTTTAAATTTGGAATTTATGTTTACATAATATGTATCTGTAATAATTTCTATGCAATATAACTTGGCTATGGTCAAAATATGATGCCTATGGAATATGGCAGGTTTCTGATTAAGAGCTGAGTGGATAAACAGAGAAAGAATTTAAAAATTAAATGCTATTAAGGTAGCTTATGGTATTCTATGAGTTCATTCAACATATCCATTCCACATTGCAATCGTTCATTTAAACTGAGCACCAACACACCTGAAACTTTTTATAATTAAAAAAAAAAAGTTTTGCTTGGCAATATTTCTGAAAACATGCACTCTAGCAGGCTTGAAGGTAACCAGATCCAAGCATTATGTCAATATCATTAAAAACAGTTGTCCAAAAAGGTGAAAGGAAGAAGGAATGAAAAACAGAATAAGAGAACCATAGGCAATGCAAATCAAAAATGACTATTTCCAATTCATTCTGCTTCCTTTCAGTTTTCTCGTTTTCACTTTGTCATTGTACTACAATCAGCTGGCGGTAAATGGTTGAAATAAAGGATAATTATTCCCATTAAATTATAAAAGCAACCTCAGAATTGTGTTTTTTTTCTTCCTTGCTCAAGAAATGATCTGAGATTCCAACACCCAATCCTCCCCCCAAAAAAGAGTTTACATACAAAGAGCTAAGAACTCTGATTATGAAGCATCAATTATTATATATAGCCAATAATGTATACTATACCTTTGATGCCTCACCCTTCAAATATATAAAAATGCAATGTGTTCTCCAAAAGTCAGACATATGTACAAACATTTGTAAGAGACTTTGAGAGTAAAATGATGAAATGAAGAAAAAAGAACACTGTCATGATTTTAACAACTCTGTACAATTTAAGCTACTTTTTAACTGTTAAGGTATCCACAAATAATAAAGACTCCTCAGAAGCATATAGGAATTTTTAAAATCTTTAAAATTACATCCCACAAGGTCTTTACATCTCTAATAAAAGACATCCTACAAATAACAATACAAAGAAGTGTACATAGAAAGCTGGCATTCCTAGGGAAAAGGAGTTTAAATTCTTTGGATGTTTAAACTGTACACTGCCTTTCATACTTTTATATGGTTTGGTTTCTGTTGGGTATTTTGAAGCTGATTTTTTCACAGTTAAAAAAACAAACACTTTACAACTTTGTTTTTTACTTTCTCTAGAAATCCACTCCCTAAGTTTATCTCATCATATATCCCTACATATTATGGACCTCATGTGACATCCTGACCCCAATGATATCAAGACCCATCAATAAGCCATGTGCACAGTGGCAGACAGTGGATACTGAAAGGGAGAGTGAACTGGGTATGAACAAGGTTTTTCCCACTGTTCCTCTTTCACTTGCAGGCTCTAGCATTCAAGTCTGTATCTCTAATTCCCAAACGCAATAGCTACTGACGTCTCTTTCCCCCAAGAATCTGTCCAATCTTCTTTTCAACCTGGCAAAGCTGTAAACTTCTGCAACATCTGGTGGCAAGGAGTTCCACACTTAAATTACCACTGTGTGAAAAATCTAGACATTTTATTTAGCAAACTGTTAATAAATACTGCTTGTTTCTTGAAGATTCTACCTAGAAAACTCAGAAATATAGTGGCTGGCTATAATTACCTCAATTATCTATTAAAATAATATGAACAATGCAGGGTGAGAGATCAAGCACTTCAGCAATGACTTTTTTCAACAATCAGAGGCTCTTACACTATTGTGAAGTCATCATTTTGAATAATGTGCATCATTAAGAAAGTACTTACATTAGGCCTTAATCCTGCTGCCATTTCATAATACTTCTCTGCTTCTTCATTGAGACTGGCTTGTCTAGTGAATTAGAAGGGGGAAAAAACACAGCACTTAGTTTTTCTTGGGTAAAGAGGTTAGTATTCAGATGGGCATTAGTATATACTAATATTGTAAATTAAGATAAACTAACAGTACATTATATTTGTTCTCACCACTTAAAATACCCCTTTACCAAGTACACAAAAATATGTCAATAAAATTATGATTTTTATAGGTCAGAATATCAATTCTTTATACTGAAATGCTATGTTTGTATACCTTAGTTTCTTTCTAGATCTCACAGAATGTCATTGTATATTGCATTGAAATATAGGAGTCTCAACTGATCAACAGAGGTTTGCTCGTTTACATCAGCTGCAGTTCTGGTCCATTTTTTTTGTAAATGTATCCATATACTTAATGTTATTTGTGAAGATTTGGGTTACAAAATAGCACAGTCTATTTCTTCTCTCTTCTCCAAGAAACTGGAATTTTGATCCAAGTAACATTTTAACAACAAATAAAAAACAATGCGCTGACAAATGCAGTTGTGGGCAGATTGAATTTAGCAAATGCCTTCAGCCAAAAGAAAAAGAAAAAAGAATCTTAGAACTGTTGAACAGATTAATTTCTGTAACATTTTGATTTTTCAAACTGGATTCACAAGGAAGCATAAGCATTTGACAATGATGGTAGCAATGCCTTTATGCTCTATAATGCCATTGATTTGGGTACTTACCTGGGAAATAGGAGACCTGATGTTAAATCTCCTTTCTGCATGATTTAGCATGTACTTGATGCTAAACCTCTCATCTCTCAAGAGAATATACTAAGTGATAGGGCATTCTTAGTGTCTCTCATTGAAGCTATTCCATTTTAAACAAATATAATTATATATTCATGGGGCCAGAGAGAGAAAGAATGACACTGTAACCTGGTGTTTTGGGTAATCTGCTGTGAAGGGAGCTCTGCAGTTTGCAGTCACTGCTCCGTATTAGGCTGAAACAAGATTTGCACCTGGGCATCTCACATTACAACTGAAAGTTGTGAAATATTGTGAATAAGCAGACAACTCATCCTTTCTCCTCCATTTTGTATCAACAGTTCTGAATGCAGCAAAATTCTATGTAACAAAAAGGTGCCTTGCTCTGGAAGCACAAATGGGGACATACATTTATTCAGGAAAGAGCTTCTGGCACATAGGCCTGGAACAAATTGAAATTCCTGTTCTCTGCAGCCCAGTGAAAATCATTACTCTCCTTTCTTCCACAAATGGAAGCCCTTCCTAGCCCTTAGTTTGAAAAATCTTTTGTTCTTTTTATACAAAGTGGCTAAAAATGCCTCAAAAGCAAAATGAAGCCTTTTTGATTTTTACTGACTTCTTATTACTTTAATTATTTTTTAGCTTGGTCACTGACCTCCAAAATCAATTATTCACATAAGCCATGTTGCCATATAGCAACTGGCAGAGCCCAGAATAACTGTGGGAACAGCCAACAAAATAATGGGCTGCCCAAGACAGGTTACACTTTCCAGTATTATTAATGCTTAGCTTCTTATAATTCTTGAAACAAAGAGAAGGGCAAATGCAGTATGATTTCCTCTACAGGAGATCATACAGAAAAAAGCCCAGGTGTTATCTCAGAAATCTTCATACCCTTATCAGGATACTTTGGTACATTTGTATATGCTAAAAGGCTACAGTGCATTTCTTTGCAAGTTTCTCATTCTTATCCAGAGATATATTATCCTGCAGCTTTTGTAGAATGTGAGAAAAGGTAAGAAGAGTAGTACAACAGATATTTCATTAGTTTTCTCAAGATTTCTGTAGCAGTTGTCAGTTCAAGCAATATTATTCAAATAAGTGCTTGAATCCACAGAATTTACTTTGCTGAATATGCAAGGTTTTTAAAATGTATGTTCTTCAGAGATCACCAGCTGCAGGTGTTCACCCTCCATGTGACTTTCCACCCAATTTCTGCAAATTAACCACACAGCATGCTATAGGCAATTCATTCCAATCAATGTGTTTTGATAGACAGTTATTGGTCTTGGGAGGAGAAGGGAAAAAGGAAAATCCTTTTGAAGTCTCACATAATTTACAAGCAGGTTGAAACCACTTCCTCACTAACACTTTGCCAAGGGGAACCAGGTTTATACCTGTTAACTGTTTTAAATTACTCTGCACATGTATCAACTCAGTGGTCCAGTGGTTAGATGCAAATGTCTAAAAATATTCATTTAACAAGCATGTG